ATTTCTCTGAGAACGTCCCAGGCCTGCAAAGGACTGCTTTAGCCCATTAGTCCTCATGGCTGCACTGATTTCATTCCCAAAGAATCACTGCACTGAGTCTCCAAGAAAGGGGTGCAGAAGTCAACTCTTATCCCTGACTTCCTAATCGGGAGCTCCAAAGAGACGACTGGAAAGCCCTAAAGATAAAAGACCCGGGAGGCAGTGCTGTGCAGTGGTTAAGAACACTGCAGTCTGATTCCCAGCCTATCCATTTGCCACTGCCCTACAGTTTTCTCATCTGTAAATAAGAGTGGTCATAATATATGCTCATTTGGATTAAAAGAGATGTGGATGAATGAAATGCTTGACATACAGTCAATGAATGTTAGACATGATGATGATGATGGTGATGATGAGGATGATGATGATGGATGATGATGATGGATGATGATGATGGTGATGATGATGAGGATGAGGATGATGATGATATGGTAGAGAGATTCATAGTGGTGCTATTCTTGTATCAGGAAAACCATCAGGCTTGAACAACCTGGAAAGGAAAGGAGTCCCTGTGACTGAATTTCTAATTTTTTTTTCTAGAACACTGCTTTGAAATTTTACTTATAACTCATTTTAAAACTTTAGAAGTCTACTGATCCACTTAAGTAGAATTGAGAAGAAGTCTAGGGAAAATCTAGGTTTGGCTCCACAGACATTTTAAACACAGACTAACTGGAGAATTAAGATATGTGAGAGTGAAATTAGTGATTTTTTAAGAACATAAAGTTTAACTTTTAAAATAGTTTCCTTTCAAGGTGTTATGAACTTTAAAGGTTGCGAGGCTGTTGTAAGTTCATTATTTAATCTATGATGCTCTGGAAAGAATGCAGTCCATGAAAGAGAATACTTGGATTTTGATCTCAGGAAACTTTGAGCTTGTGCGAATGGATTTTTATTTTATTTTTTAAATCCATTCACACAAGCTCAAAGTTTCCTGAAGGCAAGAAACATTTCTTTTATCCCACGTGAAACCAGGACCTCCCTAAAACTCACTCAGTGAAAGCTTTTGTCTGACTTTTTCCAGAAACATGCAGGTGTGGTTCTCCTGGTCACATCAGAGTGTTACTGTCATTTGATAGAGACATTTTCCTCCCCCACTCTCCCACCCAAAAAATAATAAATAATTCAAATGGAGTTAACTTCAAATTTTAAAAATCTGCTCTAATTGCATTTGGTTGTTAAGTTACTATTCTCTAAGATGTCTAGTATACCACTTGTGCTGAGTGAGTATACACAGCAAAAATGGTTCTGATGTGTTTTTATAGTTTCACACCTCACAGCTTCTACTACCTCCAAATCTAGAAATTTTTCTTTCCTACAAAGAGCACTATCAGTTGACACCTACTCTCCCTTTATAAGCTAACTTACCATGATATAGAAGGGTTTTAGTAGAAGGAAAGGAATTGCTCATTATTGAAAATAAGCAATAGCCAAAGCCAGTTTGGCTCAGTGGATAGAGCGTTGGCCTGCAGACTGGAGGGTCCTGGGTTTGATTCCAGTCAAGGGCATGTACCTTGGTTGCAGGCACATCCCCATTAGGAGCTGTTCAGGAGGCAGCTGATCGATGTTTCTCTCTCGTTGATGTTTCTAACTCTCTATCCCTCTCTCTTCCTCTCTGTAAAAAATCAATAAAACATATTTTAAAAAAATAAAAGAAAGAAAGAAAAGAAAAGAAGCAATAGAAAAATCAGAGTCTCCTTATGAACATTTCCTTAATGCAAAACCCCGGCCCCCAGGAAAGGCCCTACCACACCGTCCTTCCTGCTGGACCTCTTCTGGGAAAAATATTACAATCATGTTTGTAGTCCTGCCTTCTGCTGGGAACTTCCTTGGTGTACATCCAAGAAGAGAATCATGGAAATGTAGAGCTAGAAATTATTTTGGAGACTACAGATTGGAAAAAAGTGAAATCTAGAAAAAGGACTTATTTACTCAAGCCCAAACACCTAACAGGTTTTGGGATTGGAGCCCTATCTAATGGTCTCCATTTCTTCTAAGCCCAACTACTGCTTTGGAAGAACTCAGAATTCATAACTTCACAGAAACTGTTCGCTTTATCTTCCTGTTATTAATAGAAGTGGAACTGTATAGGCAGAAGATAAACATGTAGTGACTCAGTCATTAAAATAATACTATTTGCTGCGTTTTAAGCATGTTATTATTCAGTAGAGACCCAGTGCATGAAAATTCATGCACTGGAGGAGGGCGGTCCCTCAGCCTGGCCTGCCCCGTCTCACAATCTGGGAGCCTTCAGGGGTGGGAGGAGACCTGGTGATCAGGGGACGGCAACACCCCCATCGCACCTCTGCTGCTGCCACTGCCAGCAGCACAAGCCTCAGCCGGCCCTGGTTATTACCTGAGCCTTAGGAGGCCTTGGGCAGCTGGGCAGCTGCCATCCTCAGACTGGCACTGGGCAGCTGGGGGAGCTAAGGAGACTGGGCACCACCATCTTGTGACTGTGGGTGCCAACATCTTTGAGGGCATGGCAGTCAATTAGCATATTCCCTCCTTATTGACTGTGGGCACTGCCCTCTTTGAGGGTGGGGCAATCACTTAGCATATTCCCTCCTTATTGGGTGTGAGTGCCACCATCTTTTGTGACAGCATGAGGTTCAATTAACATATTCCCTCTTTATTAGGTAGGATTAATGCTACCAAGATTTTTGAAATGTCTCTGTTAGCAGGCATACTTCTACTTGTAAAGATACATAAAAAAAAAAAAAATAGCCCTTGTTTCAACTTGCCAGTGAAAATTGGGGATGCTGATATAAAAGAGACCAGAGTGATGCTGTGTGATCCTAGCTGTGATCGTGTGGGTGCAACATGTATGGCCACACAAAGGAGGGAGCTTAACTGTGGGGTAAGAAAGAGAAGGATCCCCCTAACAGGGGAGTCTTGAAACAGCGTCTTGAAAGAAGGGGCTAGGGAAAAAGGCATTAAAAGGAGAAAGAACAGTATTGCTACTGAGGTGGCTGTGACAAACATGGCCGATTTGGTACAAACATGCTTACACATGGCTGCATCCCAGGCTTACGTGAGGCCAAGGACAGGCAGGGATCAGGTCATGCTGAGCTTTGTGTATCATGCTAAAACGTTCGTATTTTACCAGAAAATAATGGGAAGGTATCGATACATTCTATGCTGTAAAATAATATGACTCAAGTTATACTATAAAGCAAATAGATTTTTTTTTCTATTTCTTAATATCCGATACTTTGGTAAAACATCTGAGAGTAGAATGGGACAAAATCGCCAGTATCAAGCCCAGGGTGGCCAGTCCAGGAACAACCAGACCCGGAGTGGCCGGGCCCGGAAAAGCCAGGCCCAGAGCAGCCGGGGTGGGAGCAGCCAGACCCAGAACAGCAGAAGCCAAGCCCAGAGCATCCAGGCTGGGAGTGCCCAGGCTCGGAGCGGCCAGGCCCGGGGGAGCAGCCGGGTCGGGTGCGGCCAGGCCCGGAGCAGCGGCTGCCAGGATGGGAGCGGCCAGGCCCGGGGGAGCAGGCGGGTCAGGTGCGGCCAGCCCCGGAGCAGCGGCTGCCAGGCTGGGAGCGGCCAGGCCCGGGGGAGCAGCTGGGTCCGTTGCGGCCAGGCCCGGAGCGGCTGGGTCAGGAGCGGCCAGGCCCGGAGCAGCAGCAGCCAAGTCCAGAGCAACTAGGTCGGGAGCGGCAGTGACCAGACCCGGAGCAGCTGGTTGTGGAACGAACCAGAGCAACAGAGGCCAGGCCTGAGCAGCCAGGCCCGGAACAGCTCGCTCCTCGCCTGCCCCTGCCCCACGGCTGCCTCTCAGACATGGCTGGAAACTTTCGCGGGAACTTGAGGGTCTGCTGAATCAAGTGATGAAGGCTTAGATCTGGATGTGTTGAGTTAGTATAGGGCTGGGGTGTTGATCTGTGAGTGCCTTGGGTGGGGCCTGGATGAGGCTGGTGGACCTACTGGGAAATGTCTTTTGTGTGAAGTGTATCATTGGGCATGTGGAGGTATTATTGATATGAGAAAATGCTAAGTAACTGATTTACTATCTGAAAAGGGATTTACTATTGGGGAAAGGGAGGGAAGAAGAGACTGAACATAAACTGTGCACCTATGGATGAGGACAATGGGGGATGGGGAGGGGGCGGAGGGTGGGGTGGGAACCTGGTGGAGGGGGGAAGAAATGAGTAACCTTTGTAATAATATGAACAATAAAGATTGATTTTAAAAAAAATAAAAATAAAAAAATAATAAAAAGAAAAAAGAAAAAAAAGAGAAACATATAGCAGATGCTGAGAGATTTACACATAGCAGCAGTCAGCAAACTATTGCCCAGGGGCCACATTTACCCAATAATCAGTCTTTATAAATAAAGTTTTATTGACACACACACACAAAAAATCGCCAGTATCTACTTCCAACCGTGGACAGAAATCTCAGTTTTCTCATCGGTAAAATGAAGATCATTATAGGGTTGTTGAAAGAAATACACAAGCTAAAGCCTGTTAAGCATGGTAGCAGTGTCTGACAGGTTCTCAAAAAGAGCTTTTAGTTTGCTATTGGATTGTAACTAGTTGTTTATAAAATATCCTTATACTGTGAGGCCTCAAGGTTATTTTTTTCCTGTATTTTGGTTATTAGCATATTTTCTGTAATTGTGCCAAAATTGAAATTTGTAGCAAGTCCTCATTTCATTCATTGTTGGTTCAGTGTAACGCTGATGAGATGTCCAAGGAACTTCACTCTTGTTTATATCAGTTAGTCTGTGGTGAAATTGGTTTTGCTATGTGGTTTGGTCACAGTTCTAAGAAACTATCAGTGACATTAAGTGAGGACCTACTCTAGATTAGCAATTTAAATTTGGTTGTATTAAAAATAAGGTAGGTTACAAATAGATTAAATATCTGCATGCCATCTCTATTTAAAAAATGGACTATATTTCAATATTCTATAATGTAATAGGCTTACTTTTTGTTGTTCTGTTTTGTTAGTGCTCCTATATCCCTCCCTGTAAGAGAGAAAATCAGAAGAACTTGGAAAGTGTCATGAATTGGCAACAGTACTGGAAAGACGAGATTGGTTCCCAGCCATTCACTTGCTATTTTAATCAATTTCAAAGGTAAGCCAGTGTTTACATGTACCTACTAAGCTTGTTTATAGCCTTTTGTAGTTTTACACTATGAAATATTACATTAATTAATCATAGATTGTGCTAACTTGAAAAAATATACAACATGGAGATTCTCTCAATTCTTTCCAGCGTGTAAGTGGGGAAGCCTTTTCTTACTCTATAGGATGGGAAACATGCAAAGAATCTGCAAAGAAAGAGAGAGAGAGAGAGAGAGAGAGAGAGAGAGAGAGAGAGAGAGAGAGTGTGTGTGCGCACGCGCGCGAGCGCAAGCACTTGTATCTTAGAGTGCACCATCTGGGTACACTAAGGATATGCCTTAGGTAGGATCATTGCATACTAGCTAAGGTGTAGGTTTATTAGCCTCTTGGACTGCTTCAAATATAATTTTCCCCTTTCCTTTCTATTCTGGTGAAGTACCAATAAAATGAGTTCACACGGTTAAAACTTTATTTGGCTTAGATCTCAAGCTACACCATATAGTAATGTTTTCTTGGACTAGAACACTTCAGTACAGGTCAGTCACGGTAATCTAATCACCAGACATTATTCAGTATTTACAACTCCTTGCTGGATAACTCCACTTGGGTGTGCTACAGTTATGTCAAACTTTCTTTTCCTCCGATGGTCCCTCTCTTGGAGAATGGCACTACCATCCACTCCGTTTACCTAGTCCAGAAACCTTTGAGTGATTGTTAATTCACTTCCTTGGTTTACTTCGTGACCTATGTTCACTGTCATGCTGATTGTACCTCAGTGACATCTGTTCTGTGCCTTCTCTGTGCCACTGTCTTAGTTCAGATCCATATTCTTTCTCAGCTCCATTAATGTAATAGTATTCTTCTTTCATTTTTATTGAATTTATTGGGGTGACACTGGTTGACCAAATTATATACTAGTAGGTTTCAGGTGCACATATCACATTTGTACACTGTGTTGTGTTTTTACCACCCTAAGTCAAGTTTCCTTCCATCACCATTTATCCTCCCTGTAGCCTTCTTTACCTCCCTTCTCCCTCCCCTCCCTCACCCCCATCTCCATCCTTCTCCCACTGCATACCATTTTGCACGCAGCTGCCAAGGTGATCTTTCTAAACCTGAGACTAATCAGGTTGACTAATCAGGTTACTCCTCATAGTTTTTGAGTCAAGTCCAAATATCTTGGTGTAGCTTATTACACCAATTTCTGTGTAATAAGCTATCCTAAATCTAACAGCTTACTACAACAATGGTTCATTATCTCTGCTGATTCTGTGGGTTGGCTGCTGAGGTTCATCTGTTGGTCTCTCCTGGGCTCGTGTGCATTCAGATGAAGGCTAGAATGGCTGTGGGTCCATAAGGTCCTCCTCTCTCACCTGCTGGCTCAGATGAAGCACCTGTTCTGCACCTGGCCTCGCATTCTCTAATAGGCTAATCACCTTCCTTAGAGCATGGCAGCCTCAGGACAGCATTTCAGGAAAGCTGAACATAACATTATTTCTGATATGTTCTATTGGTCAAAGGGAGTCAGGATATAGCCCAGGTTCATGGGGTGTTGAAATAGACTAAAAGCTGCAAAGGTGTTGTGCTCTACTTAAATGGCACACAGACTCCTTACCCTAGGCTACCACCTCTCCAGCCTGTCTCTATACTCATACTCTTTGCAATAGACTTTCTGAACTATGTGCAGTTCCAGGAATATCTTATTCCTTAAATAAAGGAATATCTCCCCTTCATTTGCTTCTTCTGCTTCTTGACTGCCTTGCTGAAGACCCCTCAGATATCACCTTCTCTGGGCCGCTTTGCTTGATCACCAGATTTCATTTAGTTGTAAATCAGCCAGGATGCCATCTGCTGCAGATAAATATAAAACTGGCTCAAAGTGCCAAAAACAGTTGAGAAATGTATTACCTCACACATCGAGAAATGCATAAATGGGCTGACATTAAGGTTGTTTGATGCAATGACCTGTAGTGCCATCAAGAACCCTGTTCTTCTATATCTCAGTTCTGCCTCAGGTGGCTCCCTGAGGACCACTGTATGGCTGCTGTGGTTCCAGATGTTACAGCCAGACACAGCAGTGATCAACATCAGAAAGAGTCTATCTCTCTTGACATACTTTTATTTTCACAACTTTCCAAAGCCAGCATCCCCTCAGGTATTTTAGTTTATAAGGGTTCCTTTGCCTGCACACCTAAACTAAGCACAAAAAAAGAACAACCAGAATCTACCTCTGAACGGGGGATAGGCAATGTGTCCTAAGTTGCGTGGAGGAAGGGTATCTACCTGAATAGATTTGGGAAGGAAGAAGAAAGGGGATGGAATTTGTGGAACAACCAAAAGTACCAGCTGTTATAAAGTATGTCTTCCATGTTCTGTGTATAGCTATCACACTCACTTTCTATAACTATACCAGAGGACCTTTAAAAATAAAATGCACTGCAGATCAAATAAGTTAGAATCTCTGGTGTGTGAATGTAGATATTACTGTTCTTAAAAATTGACTCTAGAAATTCTGATATATGAGAAATGTATTGTGTTTATATATATATATATATTATATATTACTATATATATCATATGTGTCTATTATGAGATTCTAATACATGTTCATTTTTATGTACAAGCTATATATTAATTATTAATATATCTTATACATTATTAATATATGAAATATATCTATGTGTTTACATTAGATACATATATACATAATATTTGAGATATGTTAATATGTTTATAAATGTATGTAATAAACCAAACCTCGACAATATATGGTACATTGAGAATATAGGTTATATAATGAGTGGTGAATTTTTAAGCTGGAAAAGTAGCTTTGGTTAGATTTCTATAGAATCATACATGCCATATTAAGGAGATGGTTTTTCCCATACAAGCAATGAAAATTTGTAAAAAGTTGTGTTTTCTTTAAACCAAAGACAGGTATGACTAGATCTCTGATTTAGAAAGTAACTGGTGTGAGTGTTGAATGTGTGTTGAAGGGAAAAATAGTGAAAGGCAGGTAGCTCTAACTCAATGATAGGGAGGTGAGGAGAGTACTAAATGGAAAAAATAATATTTTTGAGTGGCTATGATGTGCCAATTATTGCAAATAACATTTTGTTTAGATCAACACATTTCTTATAGTAGTTCTAAGCACTAACCCTATCAGATGAGGAAACTGAGCCCTAAAGGAGTTAAATAACTTGCCCAATGCACACAGCTATTAGGTGGTATCCAGTTAGTCTGATCCCAGACTCCTTCTATCAACCATCTGCGGTCCTGATAGAGCATTTTGGGAGCTTATGTGAGAGCAATGGAAATGGAAGGCTCTAACTGGGCATATGTCAGCAAGACATTTACAGTTGCAGTCAACAGAACTGAATGACAATGTAAGTGATGAGGAGAAAGAAGGTATCAAATTTGACCGAGTTTGAGAAAAAGATGGTCCAGCTCTGACTATGCCATACTTGAGGGACTCATAAGATACCCAGAAGATGCTTGAAGGAGTGGGAAATACAGACCTTTCATCCCGGAGCAGGAGGTCAGGACCAGGGCTGCACAGATCTGGGAACTGGTGGAGCACAAGCTTCCTGGTTGAAGCACAGAGAAGGAATGTGCGCTGAGCACATGGAGAAGAGAAGTATGACAGAATTGGGGGCCATCTACATTAAGGTACAGGTAAGGGGAGGTGGAGAAAACAGTCAGACGGTAAGAGGAAAGTAAAAAAAGAACACCATCGCATCTTGGCAAATTTTTCAGGATTTAAGGAGAAAGGGGCAATCCAGAAGGACCCCTGAGAAGTCATCAGTTTGGGCAAGTATAATAGAAGTCTCCTAGCAATCATTGTGAAAGCAGTCCCAGGATACAGGTTTAGAAATCACCTATAGCCTCCGCAGGTGAGAAAGCGAAGGCATTAGTAAGTGCAAGGGACGCCTTCAAGAAGCTTTCCATGCCTGGAAGGAGTGTGGGGAGGAGTTGAGTAATTAGAGGGAAGGAGGAACGGATGCAGAGAAGTGATCCTGCTCAAGACTAAAACTGCGGAGAAAGACACATTGACTGTAGTAGTAATTAAGACAAAAATGGAAGAAAAGGAGATAGGTTGAGATAAATAGGTTAAGAAGTAGGGATACTTTTTTCCGTGAGGCTAGAGCCGGGGAACCAGCATAGGTGCCAGCAGGCAGGAGGGGAGCTGGATATGGAACCCAGGACTCTCTGGATTGGGTGATTCTTATGCATCCTGGCCCAACCAGGAGCCAAGTTAACGTGGGTGAGCTTGTGCTTGCACTTGGAAGCAAACAGAGCATCCCTTCTCCTGGGCTGTCCTGCTAACCGGCCTCCGTTTTCCTAATAAACTCCCCACAGTCCCCACTCAGGCGCAGAGTTCTCTAAATGCGCCTCCTGCAAACAGGGTTGCCTCCTATGAGGGCACGAAGTCTGAATATCCTCAGTCCCCAAGCAGGGTTGTTCCTCTGGCGTAATGGGAACCCTCATTCTACACCAGTTCTGTTAACTTCAGAAACAGAAAAGTTAAGCCCGCTGTACCTCCCTCAGAATGGATGCTCATTCCCTCTCGGTCATCGCATTTCTCCTCCTCAAACTGTTGGGGTGTAGATAGACGTGGGGGTGTCTGTCACAACCCCGCAGCACCCGAGACAGGAGTTGAAGTGACTCCGGGAAAACAGAAGAGTGGAGTTTGGCTCTTTCACCATGCCATCTGCGAGAGGAAACGGGAGTGCTGGTTGGAGGTGGGAAAATGGCAGCTCTTAGTACACGTTTTACTACTGCTAAGTATGCGATAAAGATAGGCTCATCGTAGAGACTCCTAACTGCTCTCCATGAGACGAACTTTACATTTAAAATAACCTTTAGATTTCGCTCACAGGCAGGAAATAGGGAGGCTAGTTACCAGGAAGTTCCCGTTTTTAAGTAAAGACTGTTATTTTAAAAATTGAAGACAGATTACTGGAGTCTAAGCTTTCCATGGTGTAAGCCTCATTTAGGAGAGCTGTCCTC